AACTAAAAGATTTTCTTACTGAACAACATGTGTATCATTTAAATCTTTAATATCCATATCTAAATTATTTTCTTGTGCAGCTAAATCAGCTTTAAAACGACGTTGTTCATTATCACGAAGTACACGATCACCATCAGTATCATAACGTGAAAAAACATTTTCAATTTCAACATCTGTATAACCACGAGCTTTTAAATTTCGACGCCATTCATCAAACTAAATTCAATCAATTCATTTTCTTTTTTTACTATCATATCAAAATTGAATATTTACTTCAATGACACCATCTTTATTTACATCAGCACTTTTTAAAGCATTTTGTATATCAATAATACGCTAAAACAAAAACAATATATATATCTTATTATATAGATATAAATTGTTAACTTACATCTCGTTTAACATTTAATCGATCAAGCATTCTTTCATATGATTTTTTAAAATAATCACCTAATTCAAATTCAGATTTTTGTGTTGTCATATCACTTTTAACTTCAGAATATGTATCATTAATAATAGCTAAAAACATATTCAATAATACAAAGAATACGAAAAATACATATGTTAAAAAGAATATTGGACCAAGAATACGATGAGCACTTAAAATTGCTAAAACAAAACGAAATATAAATAATTAAAGAAAATAAAAAAAAAAAAAAGTTTTTTCATTTTACCATTAAAATCAAAATCACCCAAAATAATACGAAATAAAGTAAAGCTAAAACAAAAATAATTACATTAAAAACAAACTCTAATTAAAATATTAATTTACATTGAAATTGCAAATGTTTTATAATCATCAACCATTGTACCAAATAATAAATAACCCAATTGTGCATATGCTAAAAAGACAATCATAAACATAACACTAAAACCAAGTACATCTTTTGCACAACGTGATAATGTTGTCGATAATTGTGTCATTGTTTTATTGAATGATACATATTTAAAAATCTAAATAGTAATTGCAAAAAATAAAATTCTCATGAAATTAAACAACACAGCGTGACCAAAAACAATCAACTGTTGGTCAAATTGGCGCAACATAGTCCAAGGCTACTCAAAAGTTCGGATCATTTTTTTTTTTTGTAGATAAAAACAATTTTCATAATTATTAGAATATATGATTGCAAAAGTTAAATATCATCTCTCAGTCACATATTGTAACGATCACAACAATTTTAACTCGGACTGTTGAACTCAGTGGCGTACGCAGAAATTTTTCAAGGGGGGGCCGGCCATGGCACAAAAAATTTTTTATCACGTGAAAATATTTTTTCCTGTACCCCCTCCAGGACTTTTTCGTCTCAAGGGGGGCCCGGGCCCCCTCGGCCCCCCTGCGTACGCCACTGGTTGAACTTAGGATTATTGTTTTCATGTGTCTAGAACTTATTCTTTTTTTTTTTGATATCTTACTTTAATCCATGCAAGAAAAACAGCAAATGCAACAATATTATTAAATTGTATTTGCCAATAAGTAAGAAATTCAAAATCAGCAAAACTATTTTGATTTTTTAATAATTCATCAAGAATTTGTCCAACTTTAATTTGACGATAGACATTAAATCCAATACAAATATATGATATTATTATAATTAATACATCAAGTACATTCCAAATTGTTTTAAAATAATGTAATTTAAAATGTCTAATCTAAATAAAAATCAAAAAAAAAAAAATTTTCATGTTAATCAAAAATTTATTTTTTTTTAATTTACTTCAAGAACTTCTTCAACTGTATAATAAACTGTAAAAATTGTAAATAATATTTCACATGCTAATACAAAATAATCCATTGATGAAACATACTAAAAATAATATATATATATTTATGCCTTGCATTTTATAATTTTTTTAAAATACACTTACACGAATTAATTTAACTGTTGAAAATGATTTTGATGGTACAGCACCACCTGATGCTGGAAATTCAATAGTTAATTTAATTTGACAAAATAAATTAATATTTGCATTATATACTGTAAAATCTAAAAATACAACACGTGTACCACGATCAATCCATAAATTTGCATTTAAATCATCTAATTGATCTTTAGCATCATTATAATTTGGTGTTAAATCTTGTACAAAACCACCACCACCATATCGAGATATTAATCCAGTTGTTGTTGAACCTTTTAATTGACTTGATGTTTGATAATGCCATCTAAATATTTTCAAAAGATAATAAATAAGTGAAATATTAAAAAAAAATCTTACGCATTTGGTGTTATAGTATCATTTTCAGGTACATAAGAACTTCGATTTTCTCTACTAGTACCATATGTTCCATAACATTCACGTATAGATTTTTGAAATTTTTGATGAACAGTACATGAATGATTTGTTACCTTGAATAAATATATGAGAAAATTGAACAAAAAAAAAAAACAAAAGGTTTCATTTACTCGAAGTTGTCGAAGTCGTGGTAAACCAAGAATTTTATTTTCAAATAAAACATAACCATATTGATCGTCAGTTAAATTTTCTCCATTATACCATTTTTGATCAAATAAACCATTAAGAATAGGTCCACTCATAACCTAAAGATATTTACTTATATATCAATGAAAAAAAAAAAAGAAATTTTATTATTTAATCTTTACATTCCAAAAATCATCAAAATTTGCAATATCATCAAATGCTGGTTGATCACCAATACCTTCAACTTTTCGTTCAGTAAAAACTGTACGTAAAACTGTTGTAAAATAATATGTTTTTGTTGATGTCATACCAAATGTAACTTAAATTAAAAAAATAGAACAAAAAGTTCATTTTAGAAAAATATCATCATTCTTTTTTTTGATTTAAAAGAAATATTTGTATACTTACTGATGCATAAAATAGTAACGAATATTAAATAGAGAATAAGTTCTCGTATTGTTGTTTTTATATATAAATCTTTGTTTTTTCGAAGATCTTTTTCTGTTTGTCGTGTTGCCCAAAGAGCTAAATATAATGTATTAGTTTGTGTAGAGAAAAAAATATAAGATTAATATATTCTTGATTCTTTTTATTTTCAATAATATCAAACATTTAACTCAAATTTAAATAGACATTTGATTAGAGAATGAAGTTTTCTATTAAATATATTTCATACTGAAATTTCTAAAAAAACTTAAACGTGGACATTTTCAGATTTAAGAAGAATGCATAGAAATTAGTTTTTAAGAGTAAGAAGTCCTAGGTAAGATGAGTAACCACTGCATTTCCTACAGACTTTCTTTAAAAAGTTATAAGGCTTACAAAAAAAAAGAAAGTACGCTTTTTTAGCAATACTATAATAAATTTTACCATATTTTTTCATTTTCTATGATGATTAGGATTTTATGTTCTTTAAGATAGTCCTCATTAAAACTAATTTTTACAAAATTTTTTAGAATATTACATCTAGTATGTTTGATTTTATAGAAAATTTTCTCTCATAATCGATCTATGAAATTTCCTTATAGAACGCATCGAATAGAAAACTTTTACTATTTGAGTTATATGTATAATATCATAGAAAAAAATTCATTAGTCTTATAGTGTTGACTAGTACTATATTATAAAATATTTACAACGAATGCCACGAAGAATAATTCGACCAATATTTTTCTTTGTAATTGGATCATGTCGATATGGTTCTGAATGTGTTCGATTTGTATTTTTATCATCTGGTTTAACAATAAAAATATTTGAACCCATTGGACTTGTTCCATTACTGTTTTTAATACCAACTGGTTCTTCATCAAAAGTTGGATTCGAATAAGATGTTGGCATTGTTTTGTTTGTAACACTCATATTAATGTTTTTTTCTTGTTGTTCACTCTATAACACTTTTTAATATGATATTGAAAAAATAGAATTTCTTATGCCTGTCTACTTCTTTTTCTTTTTTTTCTTATTGTGTTGACGTCAACTGGCTATCTCCATTGAGAAATAGGAGAGAATTACTTTTCTTTTAGCTTTTTGATTTTCTCTAGCTCTTTGTTTTACCTTTTTTTCTTTTCATCTACTTCTGTATTCTAATTAACGAGAAAGTAGTAGCAAGAGAATATATTAAAAAAATAAAATTATTTTTCTAAAGACCGTGAGTGAGTTCCTTTCAACAGAATAACATTCGATAAGACAGACTAGTTGTTGTTGTCGTTATATAGACAAAAAGAAAAGAACTACGTCAATGGGAATAAACATTATATAACAATTCCTTAGTGT